TTTCACACTCAGGATCATCAGTGTGGAGACTGCAGAAGCTGCACATACCTCTGTGCACAGAACACTCAGTGGGACCCTGCACTCTATAACAGCCTTAAACACAGAACTCCCATGTGGGGTCAGCTTTTCTGCTTAGCTAAGCAGCTGCTTTCTCTAGGGAATTAGGATCACAGCAGCTGCTCCATCCAGAGAAGAACCAAGCTGGGGTGAGGTGGAAATGGTGAGAGCTGTGAAGGGGGGCAGGATGAACTTCAGGGAGTGGCCCCAAGCCCAGGAATCCCTCTCATTAGATAACCAGTGTCATGAACGGTGTGGCTTAGCCAGCTCACAGATGGCTCCATGCTGACTCTCTCCACTCAGCTCTCAGCATCACTGACCCCTGAAGGAATGGCCACCTGTTCTCTGGGCACCAAGAGCATGGGTCTGTCCTGGCCTGACTTTAGCGTAGAGCTCACAGCCTCATTGCAAGTTCCATTGGGTCACAGACAGTGTCATGGCCCCTAGAAGTGGCTAGTCTGTGGACCTGAGAGAATTGTCTTTCCTCAGTCTCCCTGGTGGAAATCCTCAGGCTGGTACAAGTTAAGTCACTTCATATACTCCTTTAAAAATGGAAAACTATTGGCAGTATGAGAAACATAAAACAATGAAGAAGTTTAAATCTCACTTGAATTTCATTTGGCCATAGCCTCCAAATTGGTTCAACAAAATCTGATCTGAATTTCCCAGCTTATGGATTCTTTCTGTGTGGTCCATGTGCTCCATCCATCCCAGCTCAGGTTTTCTCTCCCTGGCTGCCCCAATCACACTTTTTTCTCCCAGGTTTGACATAATTCCACCCTAACAATGTTTTAAGTTAGTTCTCTTACTTTCTGTAATCCTATGGAAACAAGTTCCTTCAAGTTCAGGCCCTTCTGAGACCTCAGACCTGCTGGGCAGAAAGATCAAAATGACCACACGTGTGAGACTGATTTGGTCACTTAATAATAATAATATGTCACTTCATACTTTTGTTAAATTCTCTCTTTTCTCTGGGAAGATTTATTTTCATCTTTCATTTTTTTAGGCATAGTTGACATACATTATATTAGTTTCAGATGTATAACGTAATGATTCCATATTTGTATATATTGCAAAGTGATTGCCACAATATCTAGTTAACATCAATCACCTCACATAGTTACAGAATTTTTTTCTTATGATGAGAACTTTTAAGATCTGCTTTCTTAGCAACTTTCAAATATGCAATAGAGTATTATTAAATATCATCAGGCATGCTGTACATTATATCCTCATGACCTATTTATAGATTTTGAGTATTTTCTTAAACATCTGTAACTTCTTCAAGTGCTTTTCTTCTGTCTTTTTCTCCTAAAGTCCAAGTCAGTTTAACTATATCCAGTAGTCTGGTTGCCCTTTCTCTACTTTCCCCTCTCTCTATGCAGTCTCCACCCTCTCTGATTTTTGTCTTCGACAAAAAAATGAAAAAACAATTCAATTGATTAGTCAGATCAGAAATGGAAAATACGTATTTCTAGAAACAGGTGCTATGTAGCTGCAGCTACACATTCTTCTACTGAGGCACCAGAATCTCAGATTTTCAGAAATACCGTCTCAACTGCGTGAAGCCTGATATGGCACAAACAGTATTTCAAATTTCCAAGTTGGAAGTAGCTCAGTGCTTGCTGTGTCTCTCCACTGATTTCTGAAACATTCTAAATGGCAGAAATTTCTATTCATTTATCTACACATTTGTCTCAGCACTAGCCGTTCATTAGTGGATGCGATCACATTCTAATCAGCCTCACTCCTCTTTTCCTTTCTAGAGGCTATCAACATCCTAGTGGGAAATAACCATCACAGAATCATTTGTCATTTAAGAGGGGACATAATTTAGTTTCATTTATTCTCTTTTGGCAGCAGACTAAAAAGAACTAAATTCTTTAAAAAAAATAAAGATAGGCTCAGACTGGCATAGACTGTTCCTAATGAGATCAGCAGATGACAAAATAGGACGAGTGATACAGCAGCACCCTTGGGTACCTGTGCTCTAGACTTCCTTATACAAAGGGTTTCATTATTCATATGCATTTACTACACCAGTGATAAGACATGTTAACATTACGTAATTCCTGATATGATGCACTGAGAAGGACACACACCTTTTGTGATATTCTTACCAAAAATGTATTATCTGAATCTTATCAATAGAAACATCAGACAAACCTGATCAGAGGGACATTCTTTAAAATAACTGGCCAATAGAGTTTAAAAGTGTCAATGTCACAAAGAAAAAATAAAGAACTGCCACAGATTTGAGGAGATTAAGAAAACATGACAAGTAAATTCATTGCGGGATCCTGGAATTGAACCTAGAAAATAAAAAGTCCGTTAGAGGAAAAATCAGTAAAATCCAAATATGAATTTTAGATTAGTTAATGGCATCATATCACTGTTAATTTTTTGTTTTGAGAATTATACAAAACTTACGTAAGATGACAACGTTAGTAAAAGTACAGCAGTACTATTTTTATATTTTTGAAACTTCTTGTAAGTCTTAAATTATTTCAAAATAAGTTATAACAAATAAAAAATAACTAAAAATAAGCATGAGCATGAGTCCTTATTGAAAAGTTCCACGTATCATTCTATTTTTCCTCCATTTCCTATTTATAATTCCTATGTCTGATAGTGACAACCTTGGCTCCCATTACCTATATAATATATTTACTTATTTGCTCAATCCTAGAATATATATCAGGTATTTAAAAAATTGCTAGTGTACACTTCTGAGAATAAGAAATCCAAATGACTAGAACTCAATGTGTATTTAGAGCTCCATTTCTCTTTAACTTGAGGGGCTGAAGTTCAAATTTTCTCCTCAAAAGTTATTTTGTTGAGGCTGGCCCGGTGGCGCAATGTTGGGTTCATACGTTCTGCTTCATGGCCCGGGGTTCGCCGGTTCGGATCCCTGCTGTGGACATGGCACCGCTTGGCACACCATGCTGTGGTAGGTGTCCCACATATAAAGTAGAGGAGGATAGGCATGGATGTTAGCTCAGGGCCAGTCTTCCTCAGCAAAAAGAGGAGGATTGGCAGCAGATGTTAGTTCAGGGCTAATCTTCCCCCAAAATAAAAAGTTACTTTGTTAGTTAGTCCACACCCCATCCCCTTTCACTGTAGCTATGACTGTTATAGTTATGAACAGTTTAGTGAATGCCCTCTGCAAAAACAAACAAAAACAAGTATAAGGCTGGAAAATTATCAAAAACAACTATTTAAGGACTCTATTTCAGGAAATTGCCAAAGACGTAAAACAAATTAACAATTGTTTATTCTTGAAAAAGAGCTGGAGCTTCAGAAGATGCTGTACAGAAGATGTCTGTAGCCTTTTGCCTGGCACTGCTTCCTTCCCCTCCCAGTGCTGTCATCAAGAACTGTCATTTCACCAACATGAGAATAGCAGCAAAAACTAGCAGATAACTGCCAAAAAGGGTGTGTTTCAGTTGAGGTGGAGAGTGGAGCAAGATCTTTCAGTGCTTCCAGCTATTTAAATACAAAATATTAAAATATTTGGAGAAATAATGGTAAAGTTCAAATGTGGTGGAACACATTAATCTATAGACTAATGAAACTCAATGAAATCTGTTCAAGATAAACACAATGAGCTTCACAACTACACATATTATACTTAGAAAGATCAAAGAGAAAGAGAAAGTCTTGAATGCAGCAAGAAAAAAATGATTCACTGTATAAAGGAAAACAATAATAAAGTAATTTTCATCATGACCAGTGGAGACTGTAGAACAGTGACAGACTTAAGGTACTGAAAGAAAAAAATCAGCAAAGAATTTTATAACCACAAAACTATTCTTCAAGAATAAAGGAAAGTAAAACTATCTTCTAATAAGCAAAAATGAAGAGAAGTTATTAATGGCAGACATACCTATAAGAAAGGCAAGAGGAAATCCTTAAAATCACAGAAAATGACAGAAGGAGCTAACTTAAATCCACAGGAAGGAATGAAAAACTCAAAAATAGTAAAGAAACAAGAAAGAAGATAGAAACAAGAATATGCTTACTTCAAATTATATGAAGTTCAAGTGCAGGAAAAACCAAACTATTATGATAAATGTCGAAATAGCAGTTGCCTTGTTTGCGTTATGGTGAGTCATTATTGATCAGGAAGCTGCACGAGAGAGGCATCTAGAGAATTTGAAATGTTCTGTGTATTGATCTGGCCAATGAATATACGTAAAGTTTACTCAGTTGCACAATTATTTCTGCCCTTTATTCTGTATTTGTTTTATCTGAATTTAAAAAAAAAAAAAGGACAGGGGCTGGGCTGGTGGCGTAGTGGTTGAGTTCGTGCACTCTGCTTTGGCAGCCCTGGGTTTGCAGGTTAAGATTCCGGGCATGGACCTACATACTGCTCATCAAACCATGCTGTTGCAGTGTCTGATATACAAAGTAGAGGAAGATTGGCACACATGTTAGCTCAGGGACCATGTTCCTCAAGCAAAAAGAGGAAGATTGGCACCAGATGTTAGCTCAGGGCCAATCCTCCTCACACACACACACACACACATATACACACACAAAAGGACAAACCTAGACTCTATTAAGTAAACATGTAAAAAGAATCAGAATCACCAAATATTTATGGAACTCAATCTTATTAAAGAGAGCGTAAATGTGACCAGGAAAGTAATAAAGAGCTAGAAATCTGATAGAGGAAAAGAAACATTTAACTATGTCTCTTTCCCCTTTGGCATAAAATATTTTATCTTTATTAGTTTTCCTTCAAACACAGAGACATTTTATCTTACTTGGCTCACAGGAGGGCTCCTCTCACCCTCCCCCTGGATCTCTCCACACTGCTGCACCCATTGGCGGATTTGCATATTGTTCCCTAGGGAGGACCTTCCCTTGAGAGTCTGAGATAAAAGATCAGCTCTAGTCTTACTTTGACTTATCAGAACTCATCAGATCAACTTCTGAAAATGAAATTCCTTGCTCAGCTCCTGGGGCTGCTAATGCTCTGGATCCCAGGTAAGGGCAGAGGGGAGATGAGAAAGGAGCAAGGGGTAGGGAGAGTGAGCTATGGGGCATCACTTCCCTCCAGGTCTATTTTGTCCAAGTGTTAGAGGCTAATGTCCTACCCTTCAGGAAGGGGCATGTGATGTTTAGATCTATTAGAGTAAGGAATATTCCAGGAAGGAACAGGACCTGTGCTTTGGTGAAGAATGTGACACAAAAAGAGGGGCATGGAATAGGCAACTTCTAGAGACCCCTTTGTACATTGAAAATCTTAGGTTCTTTTTTGAAATTGATATTTTGTTATATTAATCAAAGTCACTAAAAAATAATTTCGCTTGAAATAAATTACAAAAAGAAAATTATGAAAATGGTTCATGATATTTGCACACAACTTTGTACTTCTCTCTCATTATTTTAGGATCCAGTGGAGATATTGTGATGACCCAGACTCCACTCTCCCTGCCTGTCGTCCCTGGAGAGCTGGCCTCCAACTCATGCAGGTTTAGTCAGAGCCTCCTACATAGTAATGGAAACACCTATTTGCACTGGTTCCTGCAGAAGCCAGGCCAATCTCCAAGGCGTCTGACCTATAGGGTGTCCAACCGGAACTCTGGGGTCCCAGACAGGTTCATTGGCAGCGGGTCAGGGACAGATTTTACACTTAAAATCAGCAAGGTGGAGGCTGAAGATGGTGGAGTTTATTATTGCTCCCAAGGTACACAAAGTCCCCCCACAGTGGTGCAGCCCTGAACACAAACCTCCCTGCTTGGGGTGGCCCAGCTGCTCAGATGTGTTACTTATCTGGTGAGCAGACACAACAGATTCTGATTCTCTATAAAAAGTTGTTAGAGAATTCAGGGGAACAGGTTGCAGCTGAGGTCCCTGGACCATGAGTGTCTCAGCTGCACCTCAGACACAACATGCTGAGTCCCATCAGCTGCACAGCCTTGGCGTGACAGAACCAGCAGGATGGAGGGGTCCAAGTGCCCACTGAGCAGAGTCATGAGGAAAGAGAGAAATGAATGAAAGCTCATCCTAATTCTCTCTGGCTTGTGTACAGTCGTCAAATAAATTTAATTAGCATAACAGACAGTTGAGGCCAATTTGTAGAACACAAGTTAAATACATGTTGGAGTTTAGCAACTTTGGTACATTTTTAAGAGGATAATATTTGGTAATATTAAGAAGCTGTTTTTTTTGCACTTTCCCAACTCCCTACTTCTCCTTTTTGCTGTGTATCTTCCCACTCCATTAACATGTTTTAGATAGCATTCTCCACAAGCTATTGTCAAGTAGGATTTGCAAAGAAGAATTAGTAAACGTTTTGGGTTTTGAGTATTCAAATAGTCTTTTGTGAATTCATAGCAGATACAAAATCCTAACGCTAGAAGTCTCTGATTTGTCTCTGTTACCTTTTGCAGGTGGAAAATGTGAATTCTTGAAATTCCAACAGTTGGATTTGAAGAAATGAAAAGTGTAAACTGGAAGATATAGGACCAAAAAAAAAAAAAAAAAGGCATTACTCTATAGTAAATGGAAGAATACAGAACGACATGAGATTTTTTTTTTCTTTCCCAGAAGTAAAGACTTTTACAGTTGTGGGGAAACTGCAGGAATGGGAACATGAAGGGAAAATGGTAGACATCAGCAATTAGAAATAATCTTCTCTTTGGCTCACATTTGGTGGGGTTGGGGATGGTGGTGGATGACAGGGGTTGATGATTTAAACCCAGAAAGAAGACCAGATGTTTTTCTTATGAAGAATCACAGAGTGGAAAGGACTTCTGCCTGGCTTCTTAGGTCATGCCTGAACCACTGCAAGTTTCACAGAAAATTAGTGTATAGAGCAGGGCTTTAGACCTGTAATCATCAAAGGCTCAGTGATGTTCTTGTGCAAGGAGACCGGAGGTCATGTCACACAGTCACATTCAACCCAGTACACTGGGGTGGGCTTCTGAAAACTTATTCTCCTCCAAAATGTGGTCCAGCATAGATCATATGATAGCAGTGAGGATAAAGGAAAATGCAACATACAATGACAAGTAAACCAGAACTCACAGCAAAGCCTACATCAGCGGGGGATGCAACGGAGATGGAAGTACATGTCCATGGTTTAGACATATGTTAAGGACAGTCTATGCAGGCTTGGAAGCAAAAATAAAAGCAAGAAAACAGCACCCTGAGAATATAGGAGATTTCTGACATGTGGTCCAGCATCCCCAACCTGCCTGCTGACTCGGGCCTCAGCAATGTCCACTTTAGAAAGTTGGCCACGTGTTAGAGGTGGCTTTGTGCTCAAGGTATTGTCTCTTCCCAGTTGTGTTCATCTACCTGAGCCAAGTCAGAACTTCTGTCCACATGCAATTTTGGCAAATAATGCAGAAGAACAAAATGTCAGGTAAACATCAGCTCAGCTAGAGAGGGTTATATTTAGTCTGAAATTTTAGGCCATCTAATCTTTACTTTTTCCACCACTCTCTGATGTCATTAAAATATGACTAATGCATTTTACCCTTTTTATTTTTTGTGCCTTTTGCAGTAGTTGTTTTGGACTTCCAAATCCTTGCAACATTCTGTCTGGGAATGGAGATTCCTTTCAGTTTTTTGACCTAAATAATGTTTCAGAGATGACAACCTTGGCACTACATTGTTATAAAAAGAACAAAAATGTCAAACTATAAATAAATACTATTTTTATATGACATGGTCATTTCCTCAAAACAAATCTGATTCATATTTTCTGGTGATAGTTCTATAGAAAATAAGTGCTCCAAATAGATCCCTCTTAAAATAATGATCAAAAATTTTCCAAATGAATAATGGGCATGTCAGTTACATGTCATGACATAGGTGCATCAAAGTAAGAGTGTTTCAATCACCAGGATAATATAATCCTGTTTCTGGCTAAAGAAATAAACCATAATAGAGATGATTGCCTATTTCAAGATAATGGATTTCATGGCAAGTGGAAATAAAATCATATTCTTAACCGGAGAGTCAAAAGAAAAAGAGAAGAAAATTGTTTATTCCCAGGAGTTGGTAGCATATACAGAGAATGACAAGTCTTCAGAGTGTATTTCTACACATATTAACAAATGGAGACACACATCCAACAAAAATTCTACAAATTTCACCTTCACAATAACCAATGTGGATCCTGGAGAAGCTGCACATACTTCTGTGAGTAGGACATTCACTGGACCCCGCGGTGTGACAGCCCCAAACACAAACCTCCCAAGGAGGCTCAGCCTCTCTGGGCAGCAGGAGGAGCTGTGGTGCCCAGAAGGCAAGTGGACACCAGGCTGGGCTCAGGTGGACATGACTGTAGAGCCTTGAGGAAGACCATGTGGGTCTCAGTCACAGCCACTGGGCACCTCCTCTATATTAAAAGGGTCCAGGGCATCACCAGGACAGCCTCCCAGAGCCTCCTCCTTTATCCCCACTTAGGTGCTCATGCCTCACAGACCCTCCAGGGAATGGCTGCCATGTCCTTCCTGGAGCATCCACTCAAGGTCCCTGCTGATCTCACTACCACACGGAAGCTCAATCATGTCATTGGGAGGAGACTCTAGTAAGGTCCTCACTTCACTTGCTGCCACTTACTCCCTTCATGGCCCTGCTTCATTCCCTTTGCCAGTGATTACCACTCTCACTAACCATCAGGATAATGGAAAGCTGCCTGCACTGGATGATTTTTGCCTTTTGAGCAAGTCAAATCTCACTGGAGTCTCTCATATGTACACTGTTATAATAATATTGTCCAGTATTCCTCTCTGACTTTCCTTGTCACTGAATTCTCTATGAGTAGTTCTTTACTCTAACCATCCAACCTCATATATTTTTCCTGTGAACCTTCTAATGTTCATTTTTGCTTCCAGGCTGACATGATTCCAATGCTGCAAACCTAGACATACGTACATTTCCACATTTCTATGGATGCAAATTTCCTATAGCAAAGCTCATTTTTTTTAGTTAAAATACTTCTTTTACTGGTTAATTCTTTAGGTAATTCTTCTTTGTAAGCAGAGGTTATTGATTGTGACCTTTACAAATATACATATTTAATACCATAAATTCAGTGTGATGAATTCACTGCTTCTTGAAACCCACAAATTTTGTTTTATTTTTTTTATTTTATTTTTTATTTATTTTTTTTAAAGATTTTATTTTTTTCCTTTTTCTCCCCAAAGCCCCCGGTACATAGTTGTGTATTCTTCGTTGTGGGTTCTTCCAGTTGTGGCATGTGGGACGCTGCCTCAGCGTGGTCTGACGAGCAGTGCCATGTCCGCGCCCAGGATTCGAACCAACGAAACACTGGGCCGCCTGCAGCGGAGCGCGCGAACTTAACCACTCGGCCACGGGGCCAGCCCAGAAACCCACAAATTTTGAAATTCCGTGTTTTCTTTCACCTTGAAATGGTTTATAATTTCCCTTTTCATTTCTTCTTTGACCCAAGTTTCACTTAATAGGATGTTATTCTGTTTCCACATATTTGAGGATTTTTCTGTCAACTTTCTGCTATTGATTTCTAATATAACTGACATATCTTGTGCTCCAAACTATAGACTATCATAGTAAACATATTTTAAAGACTATGTTTTCTATTATTACTTTTTTCTTTTTATTCTGAGGAAGACTTGTGCTGAGCTAACATCTGTTGCCAATCCTTCTCTTTTTTTTACTTGAGGAAGACCATCCCTGAGCTAACAGCTGTACCAGTCTTTCTCTATTTTGTGTGGGGCCCCTCCTCAGCATGGCTGGTGAGTGGGGTAGGTCCCCGCCCAGGATTTGAACCCATGAACCTGGACCACCAAATCAGTGTGTGCAGAACTTTAATTATCTGGCCACTGGGCCAGGCCCAATCTGTATTCTATTATTGTAGTGGAGTGTTCCCTAAGTGTCAGTGATGTTGAGATGATTGATGGTATTGTTCAAGTCTGGCCCAATGGCAGGGCTGCTTGCACTGCAGGCTGGATCTGCGGCAGATCACACTGTCCTTGTGGGCTCCATTCAAAGCTGACTGACCTCCATGTCACCTGGTACATTGGCCAGTACCAGTATCTAGACTCCTAGGTCTAGAATGTGTTGCCTGCAGAAGTCAAAAAAGCTTTCAATGCTTCCTTCCTTTAAACATAGAGACACCCATTAAACCCACTGGAAAGGAATGTATAGCCCTCCTTCCCCTACGCTGTTTATGGAGCACATTTAAGAGCCCCATTATCAGTGGAGAAAAAATATTTCATAAGATTTGGTTCCAGGTATACAGGGAAGTGTCCAGAAATAGAAGCTGCATAGGGACTCCAAGTAGGGGCCGTCAGCCACCAGACCTCAGCCTGGATGTTATCAGGCAGCCCAGAAACAGCTCCCAGCTCATTTTCAGATGGTTGTGCTTGTTTTGACACAATTTATGGACTGGTGCTCTAGTTAGGAGGGTGCAAAATTTGACAGCATAATTTCCATACTTTTATACCTATTCTCTACAGTTCCTTCTGTACACTAGGGGGCACCCAAGTCAAATTCTCAATAGATGTATTTATCTTCTTCCAAGTCTGGCTCCAAGTTTTTCTCTAATTGCCCAACTGCCTAAGTTGTTAATACTTTGGGGATGTTTATGGGAATCAAATTGTGCCGCAGTGTATTTCTGTGTCTCTCTGAAAATGTTAACCTGGGACAAATTTTGTTAATAGCCCTCTTTATCTCTTCATTTTGCTCTATGAGTTCCGAAGGCAAATTAGTTTACTGATCTTAAAATGTTAGCATTAAGCCAGAAACATTATTGACCACCAAATATATACTTTAATTTCTCCATATCAACAGGCTCTCTCCTTTTATTTGGCTTCATATGGACAATTTCGGTGCAATCATTTTTCCTGGTATAGAATAGTAAAATAAATTCTTCTAATTGTTTTCAAATTTCAGCTAGGGCTGCTAAGATACCAGAATATGAGTGAGCCAAACAGTTTCTACCTTGTGGAAGTTTCTAATTCTGAAGGCAAGCACAAGAAAGATGAGTAAGATCTGTCTAGGTAAGTTTCTGGCAAGTAATCGTAGGTTCTAGTTCTTTATTAAATTTCATAATTATGCCTTGTGACTGCTCCAGTGAGTTCAAAATTAATTTTATTTCATTTGTTTTATTACTGCTCATTCAGATAAGGCAGATGGAGAATACGGTCTTGAGAAAGCAGAAAAGTCATGCATGTAAAGATGTGTGTTTCTATAAACTCAGATGAATGATAAACACTTTCACACACAGAGAGCCTTTCCTGAGTTCCCCCGTAAACCAGAACATTTATCCAACGATGTGTCCTCTAGTGAGTGACAATGCAATTATTTAGGACTTCAGTCACAGGTATCTTAGAGCTCAGGAATCCACTCCAGTGACTTGCAGTTGGGTTGCTTGCTCTTCTGAATGGCTTGATCTCAGTTCTCATGCACAGAGAGTCTCACTTTTATCAAATAGAACCTCCATTTGGGCCCATCAAGGAACAGGCCTCTGTGTCTCTAATCTTGGCCAAAGCTGTGTTGGTTTGGACTGTTTGGGCTGAAAAAATTTATAGATTAAAATGTAGAATGTATAAGAATTCACACTCTCTATCCCCCAAAAACTCTGACTCCAGGAGAACAGATGGAAACAGTTTCACCAACTGGACTGTCTCCCAGGTCATACAAATTACACACAGGCTTCCAGTTTTATTGAACCCAAACTAATATCCTGTGGAAACAGAGAAAAAACTGCAAAAAAAACCCACCTGTAAGTTTCTCCTCATTCCGCTATTGTTAGGTGGAGCGTTCTGTACATGTTGGTTATGTGTAGTTGTTTTACTGTGTTGTTGAATCTCTCTATTTCCTTACTTATCTTCTTCCTAATTGATCTACCCTTTATTAAAAGTGGGATAGCGAAGACTCAAACTATTATTGTGGAACTATTTTTCTCTTCAATTCTATCAATTTTTGCTTTATATATTTTGATGTATCTTCATTCTTTTTTCTTTCTTTTCCTCAGATGTAATAATTTCAATTGTTCTATCTTCAAGTTCACTGATTCTTTTTTCTCCCCACTGAAATCTGCTTTTTATCACCTCTAGCAAATTTTTTATTTCAATTATTGTATTTTTTTGGTTAAATAATTTCTTTTTGATTCCTTTTTATAATTTCTCTCTCTTCATTTATATTCTCATTTTGTTCCTTTACTATTTTACTGTCTTTATTCATGTCTTCCTTTAGCTTTCTAGGTCTCTTTAAGACAGATGTTTAAATACATCTCTAGTTGTCTGATATCTGGGCTTTTTCAGGTATAAACAATAATTTTCAATCATTATTTGTTCAAAGTCTTTTATCACTCCAGCTTCTTTCTCACCTCCTTCTGGGATTCCATGACGTGTGTGTTAGATTTTTTTAGAGTCCTACATATCCTTGAGGCTGTGTTGATCTTTTTTTCAGTCTATCTTCTCTCTGTCATTCAGATTAGCTATTTTCTATTGCTCTATCTCTAGTTCTCCGATTCTTTCACTGCTTCCTCTATTCTGATGTTGAGCCAATCCTCTTGGGTTTTTAAATGGATATTTGTATTTTTCAGTTCTAACTTTTCTGTATTTTTTCAGTTTATATTTCCTATTTTTTTTCCAAGTTTCTATGTATTCATTTGCTTCAAGTACATTTGTATTGCTCATTAAGCATTTTTATGATGGCTGCTTTAAAATCTTTCTCAGATAATTGTAACATATTTGTCTTCTTGTTGTTGGACTCTATTAATTGCTTTTTCTCATTCAAATTGAGATTTTCCTAGTTCATGATATTATAAGTGATTTTTGATTAAAATCTGGAAATTTTGGATATTATGTGTTGGTATGGGGAGTGAGAGTCTGTATGTCTAACAAACTTCCAGATGATGCCAATGCTGTGGATGATAGTTGGCAGAGCAGCAGGGATACGATTAGACAAGTGATTAACTATGCTGGCCACACCTAAGAATTTCTTGTGGAAGATTTTTTGAAATGGAGAGCCTGAATTCCTGTCAAAAGTTTTGAATCAATCAGTCTAGGACAGGGCTGACGCAACAACTATTTTTAAACCTCTTCATTAGATTTTATTATGAAATTAGATTTATTCTAAAAGGGTGATTAATAGTTTACAGGTCTACAACAAAAACAAAAACTACCCCACCTATAAATGTTGTTGAGGGAAGGATATTATAGTGAACTTACATTTCTCTTGTTCAGCCCTGGGGCATCTTCTTTACAGTCCTCCTGGAAAATGCTGAAATATGCCTTTAACCTGCATTGATACTAAAATTGCTTTAAGAAATTGTCCCCTCTCTTAGCTTGTCTGTCTTTTTACTAAAAATTTAGGAAGAACTTGATATTTACATTCTTATTTGGAAAAATGGTCCATTGGCAATGCGAATATAGATCTCTAGCTAGAACTGGGGAAAAAGAATCTCTCAGAGAGGATATTTAGCTGGAATAAGGGAAGGAATCTGAGTCCTCTGTTGTCAGTCTTGGAAGCAGGACAGGGCTCCTACCTAAGGGAAGTTAAAATCAAGAATCCTCAAATTCCCTAGTAAGAATCTTTTAATCAAAACTTGCATTATCTGGGCAACTAACAAGTAAGAGAAAGTAACACCTTAAATGAGTATTTTCATTTCATGTCTTGATTGACATATAAAATACAAGTGAATCACCCAGTACCTCTAAGTAAGAATAGTCTTTACTACTTGTCAGAAACTTTGAATACCTCCTCCTTCATTAACCTAAAAATTCAAACTGCAGTTTGAAAATCATTTCTTTTTACTCTCACCATTCTTTTTTTTTTCATTTTTTCAGCTTTTTTTTTTATTGAGTTATTGATAGGTTACAATCTTGTGAAATTTCAATTGTACATTTATGTTTGTCAGTCATGTTGTAGGTGCACCACTTCACCCCTTGTGCCCATCCCCCACCCCACCTTTCCCCTGGTATCCACTAAACTGTTCTTGGTCCATAGTTTTAAATTCCTCATATGAGTGGAGTCATACACAGATTATCTTTCTCTTGCTGGCTTATTTCACTTAATATAATTCTCTCAAGGTCCATCCATGTTATTGCAAATGGAATGATTTTGTTGTTTTGCAGCTGAGTAGTATTCCATTGTATATATGTACCACATCTTCTTTATCCATTTGTCTGTTGATGGGCACTTAGGTTGCTTCCACATCTTGGCTATTGTAAACAGTGCTGCAATAAACATTGGGGTGCACAGGACTTTTGGGATTGCTGACTTCAGGCTCTTTGGATAAACACCCAGTAGCTACTCTCACCATTCTTGATTGTCAGGTCCAGAGTCTTACTACTAATGTTTGTGGTGTCAAGAGCAACTAAATTTATCAGTTTGATTATCTTTCCTATGCTTATTCATTTATCTAACAGTAAAAGTTTGGCAATCAGTTTAGGCAATAGAAATACAAAATTCTATCACAGCTAGTTGCATTTTTGGTCAAATTTCACCACAGAAGATTAAAAGGGAGCAATTTTTTGTGTGTAATCCTGTATTTCCTTGGAAATTTTTGTTTTAAAAACCTTTTAAAATAAAGTATAAAAAAAGAACAAGAGAAAATTCACACTGCTTTGGACTGCTCACCTCAAGATTAAAACAAATAGATAAAATAGTGAATTAATTAATATATTTTTTAAATATGAGATCAAGTCCAAGTTTTTTACTCCACACAAAAGACAATAATCCTCTTTTTTCAGTTCTGTGCAGGACATTCCCTCTGGTTTTCTTCTGTCTCCTGTTCCTACTGCTTCTGGCCCTCTGGCATGAGTCCTAAGTAAACCTAGCATGGACATCATTTACTGTAATGGATTGGGAATGTATCAAAAGCTAATTTTGACGACCTTACTTGTAGCCATTTTTCTGAGTTATCGGAGAGTCAGTAAACTGGTCTTAGAGAGGGCACTCATATTCTGGCTCTTTGGCTTAGTGTGGACATTGGGGGCTCTCAATATCTGATTGGGTTTTCCTTAGTCCATGAGTTGTTTGACACAGTTGCTATATTTGATGACTGAGCCACTCCTGGGGCTGGCTTTTGTTTTTCCATAATTGTTATACATTGAATGGGAAACCATTCTGGAAATGAAGTTTCCCCATGCCAGTGCCTCTTGATCAAAAAGTAACATTATCCAGCACCCTTCTTCTTGGGATCAATTCCCTCTTCCATGAGATCTATGTCACAGCTCTCATCCACTCTTCCTCTGCAGAGGCTGTCACAAAAATGTGGCCACTGGTAACCTCATCCCACCATCTTCATCTGCACATTTCCCCTTTCCTCTTGAATTAGAGCCAAGTGCCCTTGAATGAAATCCAGCACTGGCCCCATTGGAGAACAGTTGGGAAGTTCAATCATCTATAAGAAGTCTTGATGCTCACAGCCTCTGAGGGTGAAGGAGCTGGGCCCTGAGGAGCTGCAGGAGGTTTTTTTTTTTTTTAATTTCTATTTTTATTTTTTTAATTGCAGCAACATTGGATTATAACATTATATAGCTTTTGGATGAACATCGTAGTATATTTCGAATTCTGTGTAGATTACATCATGTTCACCACCCAAAAACTAGCTATAGTCCATCCCCTCACATATGAGCCTAATCACCCCTTTTGCCCTCTACCCCCTTCCCTTTTGGTAACCACCAATCCAATCTCCCTTGCTATGTGTTTGTTTGTCATTGTTTTTATCTTCTACTTATGAGTGAGATCATACGGTATTTGACTTTCTCCCTCTGGCTAATTTCGCTCAGCATAATACCCTCAAGGAACATCCATGTTGTCACAAATGGCTGGATTTCGTTATTTCTTATGGCTGAGTAGTATTCCATTGTGTATATATATCACATAGCATTATACACAATAGCCAAGACTTGGAAGCAACCTAAGTGCCCATAAAGGGACGAATGCAGGAGCTTTTTGTTCCCTTCTGTAACACGGTGGGTAGAAAGCCTATTGGCTCCTGACCAGAGTAGATTGCAGCAACTTCAACCTACACA